CGCCCTGCGCATCCATCCAGCACGCCTGGGACGGGGGTGGGGTGCAGAAACCCCCCATCCCCCACCCCCGCCACGCCCGGCCGGGAAGGAGGCTTCTGCCTGCTGGGCGGGTCACTGGGAGTTCTCCAAGGTGCTAAAATAAACCCGCGAAGGATCAAGTTTCCGACCGAAATAACCCCGGAGCCGCCTCAGAAACGCGACCTGGGAACCCGATCCTGGAGCGCGCGTGTGGAGGGGTCCGGTCGCCCCGCTGCCTGGGCCCCCAATAACAGCTTTTCTTGACAGTCAGGCTCTGGGGGGGGCCTTGATACTGGACCAAAGTCTAGGCTGCAGAAGGTGCCCCCATCCACCAGTGGGCACTTCCTGTGGGCCTCTCTTGCCCCTCGGGCACCGCGCTCGCTCCCGTCTCTGTGGGACTGAGCACCTCCCTGCCTGAGTAATTCCTGAGTGCAGAGCCAGGAGGAACCCCTGAGCACTGCCGGGTATGTCCCAAAAAGCAAAACTAAATAAAAATTAAGAACCACTGGGGCCTGAGTGATAGCAAAGCAGGGGGGGATATACGCCTTGCATGCAGCTGGCCCAGGTTCAATCCCTGGCATCCCATATGGTCCCCCGAGCACCGCCAGGAGTAATTCCTGAGTGCAGAGCCAGGAGTAACCCCCGAGCATCACCAGGTGTGCTCCATAAAGCAAAAAGAAGAAAAAAGGGAAAGAAAAAGAAAGAAGGGAAGGAAGAAAGAAGGGGAGGGAGGAGGGAAGGCGGCAGCGAGAAGACACCATTTGACAAGTCTCAGTCGCGTGCCACCCTCCCCGGGTGCCCAGCAGACACTTCCCTCACCCGCCTCCAGGGGGGCAGTGAGCAAACCTTCCAGTGGGGCTGAACTTGCACCCTGGGGTCCCCCCCACCGCCCTGGACCCTGGCCTCTCACTGCTTCACCCCTCCAGCTGATCAGCAAGACCAGAGAGGCTCTGTGGGCTGAAGGGTGCTGGGCAGATGAGAGTGGCAGAGCCTTGGGGGTGCCAGCCAGCACCCCGAATCCTCGCATCTATGTGCCACAGGCCTCCCCAGGGTTTCCTGCCTGAGACAAGGCCAAGAGCGGGCAGGCGGGCACATGCTAACCCTCACCTCAGTCTGCCAGGGACCCGTGGTGTGGTCCCTCGGTGGTGCCCCCAGAACTAGGGCCTGCAGCGGGAAGGGTGGTCCGTTCTCTAGGCACTAGCCATGGGAGACTCGGGGCGGCCTGCTGGGTCCTCTGGGGCGTCTCCAAGCCTAGCGGAGCTCGGGTCCTTATGATTTCAGCCAGAAATTCCATCTAATGGGGTGGGAAGTATAAGAATGGCCACCCCAGAAGTTTAGGTTTTTTTTTTTTTTTTGGCTCCTGGAGTCACACTTGGCAATGCTCAGGGGTTCTTCCTGGCTCTGCACTCAGGAATCACTCCTGGCGGTGCTTGCAGGACCCTATGGGATGCTGGGGATTGAACTTGGGTCAGGTCAGCCATGTGCAAGGCAGACACACTTCCCACTGGACTATCGCTCCAGCACAACAGTTCAGTTTTCAACAGACTCAAAAACAGAACCAGCCTCAGTTTTTGGGAACTGGGGCTAGACACACACACACACACACACACACACACACACACACACACACACACAGCCCAGGCGCCCGGTGAATGCCAGGCAGCTGGTGGAAAGGGTGGGTTGCCATGGAAATGTGGTCAGCTTTACGGTGCAGGAAAGGCAAGGTTTTTCCTAAAGGGCGTGTGATGGGATCATATTTTAAAATGCATTTTGCGACGATATGATATACATTGATAGAGTTTATTGTATCTCTGGGGTTTTTTTGGGGGGGAGGGGAAGGGTATGGCCACACCCAGCAGTGCTCAGGCTGACGCCCGACTCTGTGCTTGGGGGGTGGGGTCTCTCCTGGCGGACTCAGAGAGCCGCATTCCTCCCGTGCCAGGACTCAGACCTGGGCTGAGCACACGCAAAGGCCAGTGCCTGCCCGCTGGCCCGCGCCCCTCTTCTGTTCCCTCTGAGGGCTGCAGCAGGACATGGCGGTATTATAGCAGGGCGGGACGGGGGTGCAGGGTGGGGCCGCGGGGAGCAGCTCGGCTAGAGCATTTGCCTTGCATGTGTGAGGCCCTGGATTGGGCCCCCACCTGCCGCTTGAATAGACAAAATAAAGTCGCATATTTCCATCACCAGAAACGAGGTGGGGCAGTCGTCTCCTCTCTGTGGCCTGCTCTGGGAGGTGGGATCAGGCCGCTGTCGCTGTCATCGAGCGTGTGGATGGATGGCAGCAAACTTGGGCAGAAGGACGTCGGGCTATGGGGTCAGTGAAAGGGTTTCACGAGCTGGCAGGTGATCCCGCGGGCTGGGCCTGTCTCCCCGAGTGCGGGAGGACATCAGTGAGGATGTGGATTCAATGAATGCATGAGGTCTATTTTTTTTTATTTATTTTTGGTTTTGTGGCCTCAGGCGTGACTTTTTGTTTTGTTTTGTTTTGTTTGTTTTTTTCTTTCTGGGTCACACCTGGTGATGCTCAGAGGTTACTCCTGGCTCTCAGGAATTACTCCTGGCGGTGCTTGGGGGACCATATGGGATGCTGGGGATGGAATCCAGGTCGGCTGCGTGCAAGGCAAACGCCCTCCCTGCTGTGCTATTGCTCCCGCCCCCTCAGGTGTGACTTCTGCAAGCGCTCAAGGGGCCATAGATGGTAATGGGGGGGGACCCACAGTGGGCCGTGTGCAAGGTAGAACCCCACCCACCAAATGAGCACGTGGAGGCCGAATGCATGAATCCTAGACCCTCCATGGGACTCTGTGGCGCATGGCAGGTGGCCACAAAGGGGGACGCTTCAGCTCCTCAGCCACCTCCACAGCCCTGCCTGACACCCTTCCTGGGCCTCTGCAGGGGGGCACAGACCAGGAACCTCCCCGGGGGGGGGCTCATCTCTCAGGGGCTGTGCTGGGCTTAGCAGGAGCTCTCTCTCTCCCTCTCCAGCCGCAGGGACAGGGTCACTGTCATCTCAAAACTTGAAAGTAGGGCTGGAGAGTGGGTAATGGGCATACAGGAGGCCCAGGGCCCATCCCTGGCACCACATGGCCCCCAGCACTGCTGGATGTGGCCCAAAAAGTTAAGAAAAACAGCATCTGCAGGCAACTCTGTGACACCGAGACGCTGACTCAGGCCTCTGGGTATTAATAGCCCCTCTGGGGGGGGGGGCTCCTCTGGGCGACAGGGTCAGCGCCGGCCATGGGCCCTCGGGGGGTGGACTGTGTACCTATGTGCCAGTGACCAGTCACCAGCCCTGTGTCAGAGGCATCGAAGTCCCTCAGCCCTGCAGGAACCTCTCCAGGGGAACCCCATTTCCCCTTGGCTGAAGGCCTCTCCCCATGTGCCTGGGGAGAGACCCAATAAACTTAGCTGGAGGCCCTCCTCTCTGTGGGGTAGGGGGTACCTGGGGCTCCACAGCTGAAGGTGGCTTCCCATCCCCCACCCCTGCCCTGAGCCGGGCAGACCTGTCTGGCCAACACTGAATCAAGGGTTCACACCTTTCTGACCCCTCAGTCAGGAAGGGGTCCCCACAATCACCCAGATTTGCACAGGAAGGCTGACCTCAAGTCTCATCCCACCCTGCACCCTGGGGTCTGCCTTCCGGGCCCTTCACTCACAGACCAGACCTCATGTGGGGTCACTGCTGCTGTCTGGACCCCCAGCCAGGCCGGGAGCCCGGCCCTCAGACCCACACCCCTGCAGGTGTTGACATGTGTCACACGGTCACCCCACCCAACACAGGCGTCCCGGGCCAAGCCTGGCACCGTCCCTGGCTGCCACACACCCAGCAGCCCCCCCAGTGCCAGGTGCTGAGTGACTATTTCTGGGCTACCCGGAGCTGCACCTGTCCATGGGCCAGCCCTGCACACGGCCTCCCGGGAGAGACTGCAGGCTCGCAGGCAGACTGAAGTTTATGGATTCTTTGACTCGGCTGAGATTCCCCGAAGCTTGATTCAAGTCTGATTTTAAAAGAAATAAGGAAACGCCGGGCGGAGCAACAGCACAGTGGGCAGAGCATTTGCCTCGCATGTGGCTGACTTGGGTTTGATCCCCAGTATCCCAAAGGGTCCTCCAAGCACCGTTAGGAATGATGCCTGAGCACAGAGCCAGGAGTCAACCCTGAACATCTTTGGGTGTAGCCCCACACCGAAAATACCATAAAATAAAATAGCGGCTGGAGCTATAGTACAGTGGGTAGGCCTTGCACACAGCGGATCCGGGTTTGATTCCCAGCATCCCATATGGTTTCCTGAGCACCACCAGGAGTAATTCCTGAGTGCAAAGCCAGGAGCAACGCCTGTGCATTGCCGGGTGTGACCCAAAAAGCAAAAACATTAAAAATTTTATTTAATTTAAAAAATAAATAAAGTAAAATAAAATAAAACAAAACAGAGAGAGAAAAAGAATGAAAAAAGACCCAGCCTGCACCAGCTGACTGGGATCGGTCCCGGGCATCCCATAGGGTCCCCTGGGCACCGCCAGGAGTGATGCCTGAGCATCACTGGGTGCGACCCCCAAATCAAAAATAAATAAAAATTACTTTTTTTAAAAAAGGGGGTCTCCAGCCTGCCAGCTCGGTGACGCCTCGGCAGGGAGGTGGCCTGGCCCTGTCCTCAGCAAGGAGGCTCAGTGGGGACTCCCTCCCCAAGGCGCTTCAACTGCGCCCACCGGCCTCTCGCCTGGGGCTGCTGGCCCTGCCCGCGGACCCATGCAAGCCGGCCGGGCCGCGGGAGCCTGCGCCGCGCAGAACTACATTCCCCGGCGTGCCCCGGGCCGGGAGGGAGCCATCAGGGGCTTTAAATAGCCGCCACCCGGGTCCCCCGCCCCCCGGCGGTGCCATTGGCTGCCCGGCCGCACGCGCCCCCCGCCGCTGCCCCCCGGCCCACGGCCACGTGCGCGGGGACGCGGGGACGCGGGGACGCGGCGGCGGCGGCGCTCGGGCGGGCAGCGGCGGCGTCATGCCCGCCTCGCAGGGCCGGGCCCGGGCCCGCGGCCACGCGCTGCACCGCGCCGAGTTCCTGTCCCTGAACCAGCCCCCGCGGGGCGCGGCCGAGCCCCGCGTGCCGGGCGCGGGGGGCGCGGGGGGCAGGAGGGGCCCCGGGCCCGCGCCGCCGCCCCCCGCGCCCGGGGACGCGGCCCGCGAGCGGCGCCAGTCGCAGCAGCTGCCCGAGGAGGACTGCATGCAGCTGAACCCGTCCTTCAAGGGCATCGCCTTCAACTCGCTGCTGGCCATCGACATCTGCCTGTCCAAGCGGCTGGGCGTGTGCGCCGGCCGCGCCGCGTCCTGGGCCGGCGCCCGCTCCGTGGTCAAGCTCATCGGCGTCACGGGCCACGGCGTCCCGTGGATCGGGGGCACCATCCTCTGCCTGGTCAAGAGCAGCACGCTGGCCGGCCAGGAGGTGCTCATGAACCTGCTCCTGGGTGAGTGACCGCCCCCCCCCCCCCCCCCCCCCCCCGCCCCGCCCCGTGTGAGCGCCAAGCGGGAATGCGCTAATGAGGTTAGGTTAGGTGGGAAGGGCGCCCCAGACACGCAGGCGAGACCCCCACCCCCAGGGCTGAGAGCCCCCCCAGGGCCCCCCAGGAAGGAGACCAGGTGTGGCTGGGCCCAGAAGTCGCCCCCCGAGGGGTCAGAGGGTCTTGTCGGGGGGTTCTTCACCCGGAGCTCACAGGTGGGGCATTCATGTTCCACACTAGGGCAGACTCTGCCCCATGCCCTGGCCACGGCCCCCCACTGCACTCAGGGACTCTGTAAGTTGCCCAGGGTTTTCCTGTGGCGGGCGTTGAGGTGTGCAAGAAGGTACACTCAGTCTGGGGCTCCCCCCACACGCCGGTGCCCGCCGGTGCCCGCCTGCACCTCCCCAGCTGAGTCACTGGCCCCGATGCCAGGGCGTGCGGATCTTTGCTGTTTTTCCTGAAATTGCCAGCAGTCACTGGCCCCGATGCCAGGGCGTGCCAGGCACCTGTCCCCACCTCCTGCCCAGCCTCCCGCACTGGGGTCCCCGCAGCTCCTCCATCCTCAGATGGGGGGACCCTGCTGAGATCCTGCCGGCTGTCCAGTATGGCCACCAATTCGGGGGCTGCTGGGCCAAGGTCTCCAGCAGTGGCAGCGCTGAGAAGTGTCCCTGTAACCAGCGGGTGCGTGTGAGGTGATTGTGGTCCCTGAGGAAGTGAGGGCACTTGGGAGGTTCACCGGGCAGGCGCTCGCCCTGCATACAGCACACCCCAAGTCGTCCGTGGCACCACATAGGGTCCCCCAAGTCCCGTCAGGAGTGACTCTGGAGTGCAGAGCCAGGAGAAAACCATGAGCCCCTGGGCACAGTCTAAACTATCCCCCGCCCTCCCAAAAGGGCCTAAACCACACCACAACCCCATGAAGGAGAAGCCTTGCCTCCTTCCCATGTGGAGAGGGAAACTGAGGCACAGGTCAGTGACCTCGATTCTACCTTGAGTCAGTGAGGGCCAGGCTCAGAGTCGGTGCAGACCTGCAGAGCCAGTAACAGAGCAGCAGGGAGGACATTTGTATTTCACGGGTCTTACCCAGGTTCAATCCCCGGCACCCCAGGTGGCCCCCTGATCCCACCAGGAGTAATCCCTGAGTGCAGAGCCAGGAGACAGCCCTGAGCATCACCGGGTGTGCCATCCCCCCCAAAAAAAGGGGCAAAAGTCTGGCAGGAGATTTTTGGCGTCAGTGCCTCGGGGTCCCAAGAGGGCAAAGTGCACAGAAGGCCACTCAGCATCGGCCTCAGAGGGCACGGGGTCCCAGCTTGCAGGTCTGCAGCAATCGCTGGGCACCCCAACCCTCCAGAGAAGGGGCTGTGGGCTCGGGCCCTGCTGTGGGGTCCCCTCTGCTGAGCACACACAGCAGGAGTCAGTTCTTGCGTCCCTGGGTGCCAGAGGGTGTGCTCGGGTACACTGGCCCTTCAGCCCTCTGAACTTGAAGGAGCCCCTTCCTGCTCACAGCCCGTGGGCTCACAGGGAAAGTCTCTGGCACAGTGGGTGGTGACGTGCCCATAGTGGGGACTGCAGGACCCGAGGCGAGCTCCAGGTTCCCCCAGACTCGGGGCCGTCTCCAGGTGGGGAATGGACGCTGTGGGCTAAACCACAGGGTGGGGCCCCGGGGGGGGGGGGAAGGAGGAATCTCCGTGTTGCCTCCCCCCGCCCACACTTGCCCAGACAAAAGCAGGGGAGCCCAGAGCTGGCCTGACCTGGGAACAAATGCCAGCCTCCGTGGAACTTTGGGAGAGGGATTTGCTTCTCTGAGTCTTATTTTCCTCATCTGCCACATGGGCTGTTGGGCTGCTTCTCTCAGAGCCACAGACAAAGGGCCAGTTCATGCCTGAGGAAGGTGTTGACTTCATCCTCCTCCATCACCACAGTTGTCATCAGCTGTGCCACCACCACTATCATTATCATCACCATCACCATCACCACCATCACCATCATCACCATCACCACCACCATCACCACCACCATCACCACCACTATCACCATCACCACCACCACTATCACCATCATCACCATCACCACCACTATCACCACCACCATCACCACCACTATCACCATCACCACCACCACTATCACCATCATCACCATCACCACCACCATCACCACCACCACCATCATCACCATCACCACCACCACCACCATCATCACCATCACCACCACCATCACCATCATCACCATCACCACCGCCATCACCACCACCATCACCATCATCACCATTATTACCGTCATCACCACCACCATCACCATCATCGCCATTACCGCCATCACCACCACCACTATCACCATCCCCACCATCACCATCATCACTATCACCACCACCATTACCATCACCACCATCACCACCACTATCACCATCACCACCACCATCACCACCGCCATCACCACCACCACCATCACCATCACCACCACTATCACCGTCACTACCACCATCACCACCACCACCATCACCATCATCACCATCACCATCATCACCATCACCACCACCACACCACTACCACCATCACCATCACCACCATCACCATCATCACCATCATTACCACCACCACCACCACCACCACTATCACCATCACCACCGCCATCACCATCATCACCACCACTACCATCATCCCCACCATCACTACCATCATCACCATCACCACCATCCCCACCATCACCACCATCACCATCACCACTATCACCATTATATTCTCACCATGATCTCCAACTCCCCCATTAACATTACCATTGCCATCACCATTAGTATCATCATCATCATCACCAATACCATCACCAAAGCAGGCCCAGCGTGGTGCAGCTGCCCTGCCAGTTCTCGCCTCCAGCCCTGCTCCTGACCCTCCTGGCCAGCACCTGGTTGAACAATTCCCAGGTGATGCAGCTGAGTGCCTCCCGGCCTTGTATGTCCCTGTTCTGCCACGGGTGGCCATGGCCTCCGTCTGGTTGCCATGACTGAGTTGCTGATCAAAGAGCCTTCCCTGGGATTTTTCTGATGCTGAAAACCAGACTTTCTTCTTTTCCTGAATTTTATTTTTTATTTTTGGCAGTAAAATGATGCATGTAGCTCTAACTATTTTAACCTTTTTTGGGTTTTTTTTTCTTTTTGGGTCACACCCGGCGATGCTCAGGGGTTACTCCTGTCTCTGCACTCAGGAATCACTCCTGGCGGTGCTCAGGGGACCATATGGGATGCTGGGAATCGAACCTGGGTCGGCACAAGCAAGGCAAACGCCCTCCCTGCTGTGCTATCACTCCAGCCCCTGACTGTTTTAACCTTACTTGTGTCTGAATGTAGGGGACACACTTCTGGTGATGCCTAGCGGCCATTTCGTGCAGGGAACCAAACTCAGGACCTCGTAGTCTTGACATACGCATTTCTTCTAGAAATATCTCCTCAGCCCAGTTTTGGCCACAGATGAGCACGGCCTGCAGGTTTTAGGCGCACGCCCCATGTGCAGCCTGCGGCCCTGGCCAGAGCTTCCTCCAGGACGGAAACTGTCCCCGTGCCCAGCATCTCACAGCCCTCACCCCCGGCACCTGCCACCTGCCCCTGTCTCTCAGTCAGTCCCTCGCAGAGGTGGAGACTGCAGTATGTGTCAGCGGGGTTCCAGCCGGGCCGGGCGGCAGCAGCTCTTTATACAGCTAAGTCGTGCTCCATCACCTCCCCCAAACCCTTGTTCACTTCTGCCTTTGGCTGTTGGGAATAGTGGCTTCTCTGGATGTGGGGTGACACTGTCACCCCCCGCATCTCTGGGGGCTGCTGGGTCCTAGAGGATTCACTTTAACTCCCTGAGGACACCGGCCATGTGCCCAGCAACAGCTGCGTGTCCTCCTCCCCAGCAGGACACGTGCCGTTCCTGCATTCCTCCCCCCATGCCTGCTCCCTGGGTAACGGCCATTCGGGGGGTGTCCCGGGGGGCGGGTGAGCACCTCAATAGGGTTCTCTGGTAGCTTCTTGATTTTGTTTTGGCCACCCCAGGCTCTGCTCAGAAATCACTCCTTGGGGGGCCCAGGACACCCACTGGGCCCTGGGGTCGGACCCAGATCTGCCACATGCAAGGCCAGCGTCCTGTACACTGGACAGTTTTGTTTGTTTGTTTCAGTGCTCAGGGGTTACCCCTGGCTCTTCATTCAGGGATCACTCCTAGCGGTGCTCAGGGGACCCTGTGGGACACTGGGGGTCAAGCCCCGTTGGCTGTGTGCAAGGCAATCACCCTCTCCACTGTACTACCACTCCAGCCCCCCCACCACAGCATTTGGGGGGCTTTGTTTTTGTAGTGAGGCCACACCCAGTGGTGCTCAGGACTTAGTTCTGACACTGTGCTGAGTGATCACTCCTGTCAAGGCCCAGGTGTCCCTCCATGTGTGTCCACTCAGGGTCTGATACTGGGCGTCTCCTAGTGTGTGTACACTCGGGGTCGGGGACAGGCCATTGCACCCTCGGGGTCTGGAACCGGCATCTCCCCGCATACAGACAGTTGAGGTCCCAGCCTTGCTGTGCCCAGACCTCCACATCCTGTTTTCTGGGTCCCTCCATGTCTGCTGCCTTGGCTCCAGGTCCCAGGCTGAGCCCCTCCTACCGGGCACCATGGTCTCGGCCTCCCAAGGCCCTTCACAGCTGGCTGTTGGGGTCAGGAGCCAGCACCAGCTTCCTCAGTCTGGCAGCACCCCCAATCCTGACTGTCCAGTTACATTCACACCCCAGCCAGCCTGCCCTGTCGAATTCAGCGGCCAAGGACCCCAGCACTTGCCTCACCTGGCCCCTGAGTTGAGCCACCAACAAATTGACTAAGAATTGCCACCGGTCCCCTGGACCTCCTGACCATGGCCTCAGAATCCCCCACCCAAGGGTGGGCTGCAGAGACAGTCCCGGGCGAAAGCATGTGCCCTGCACCCAGCAAGCCTGATCTGAATGCCTGGCACCACATTTGGTCCCCCTGAGCACTGCAAGGGTCACTCGTGAGCACAGAGCCAGAAATAGCTCCTGAGCCCTGCAGAGGATAGCTCGAAGACAAAAAAATTTAAAACACAATTAAAAATAGAGCAGGTGGGCTGGAGAGAGAGTGCTGTGGGGAGGGCGCTGTCTTGCACACAACTGACCCGGACTCCATCTTGTGGCATCTCACCCTGAACAGTGCCGGGTATGACCCAAAACAAACTCACAAAAAACAGGGCTAGGGATGTAATGAGCATTTGACTGACATGTGTGAGGTCAGATGTCCTAGGTTTGATCCTAGCACCACAAAAAAAAATCTGCATGTGCGCGCACACACACACACACACACGCACACACACACACGCACGCACACACACATGCCTCCGATCTGCCCTGACTGTTCCCGAGGGCTCGGTGCAGCCCCCTCCGTCTCCTGAACTTTTTTCTGCCACCGTCCACCATCGGGCTGGTTCTCACCTGCCAGCGCAGCTAGGAGGGGACTCGGCCCCACCGGGAACAAGCCCAGCCACCACCCACCAGAACAGCCCCCAGAAGCCTGTCTCTGCTCCCTGCTGCCCCGTGCCCAGCCCTGCAGGGCCTCAGGCAAGTGGCCCGGTCTCATAGGGGCAGGAAGGGGCAGCGGGCGCCCCGGCCTGCAGGCAGCACATCTGTGTATTTCCACATGTCCCTACATGTGAATGCACACACATGCACTGTCCATGTGTACATGTGCACGGACATACGTGCGTATCTCTATGTACCGGTATGCATACAGGCGTATGCCCACACTGTCTACATGCTTGCACATGTTTGTCCACATGTACCACACATGTGCACACACAGCTCCAAGCAGGTCCAGGTGCGTAGCCTGCCCTGACCAAGGGGCTCTGAGATGGACAGTGAGCCCCGAGCAGGAAGCCGCAGGCCCCCACAACTCGGGGGAAGGGAAGTCCCCTGCCTGGGGTGCAGGGGTCCTCAGCCCACTAGGGAGGGGCTGTGGGGGGACGCAGAGGGGCAGAGGGACTCAGGCGTTGGGGCCACTGGCCACACAGGACCCTCAGAGCAGAAGGCCCAAGTTATTGGTAAGGTGAAGAGGGGGGACAGACCCCCTCCTTGCTGCCCGAGAGTCTTTGAGAGGTTCCGCCTGACCCCTGACCTTGGCCCCGCGCTTCCACTGAGACCCTTTTTCCGGGGGGGATGGGGGGAGCAGGCGCTGGCCTCCTCCGAGTCCAGGCGGGAATGTAGGTCAGAGAACTCGACCGGTCACATGAGTGGGCTTCGGGGGCCTTTGGATGACGCCAGTGTTGCTTCTGGTCAGGCCCAGCAGGGCTGCCTGTCACTGCAGGAGACAGCGCCTGGGCACCCCACAGCCGCACCCCTGTGGCTCCTGTTTTCCCCCAGATCTGTGTGAGGGGAGACTGAGCCCCACCCCCACCTCCAGCCCAGCCCACGGCCATGACAGGGTGCCCACAGGTCCCAGGGTCAGAGGGCAGGCCCGTGCCCAGTCTCCAGAGGCCTGGGCAGGGGAGTAGGCCCCAGCTCCCCAGGGACTCAAGGGGGCTTTTTCCTCCCTCCACACAGGCCTCAGGGCCTCTCTGGGCTCCAGACACGCCCAGCCTGGCCCGGGCTGCCTCTCCCTCCTCTCCTCATCCTCTTGTGCTCAAGCCGGGGGATGTTGGCTTTGTCACTCACTCTCGGGGTGCGCTCAGTTCCCAGGAGCTGCCAGGGCTGTCCACACCCATGGTGGTCACCGCTGCCCTCGGCTCCTTCAGGGGGCAGGTGAGGACTCTGAGATCGACCCCCCCCTGAGGACCCACAGCCGGGCCGGGGTTCAGGTCCCGTGGCCTGAGGGTGGGGGCCCAGGCGGGCGGTGCCGGCGACGCTGACCCCAGCCATGCCCACTGTTCCTGCACAGCCCTCCTCCTGGACATCATGACGGTGGCCGGCGTGCAGAAGCTCATCAAGCGGCGCGGCCCGTTCGAGACGAGCCCCAGCCTGCTGGACCACCTGACCATGGACGTGTACGCCTTCCCCGCTGGCCACGCCAGCCGCGCCGCCATGCTGTCCAAGTTCTTCCTCAGCCACTTGGTGCTGGCTGTGCCCCTGCGGGTGCTGCTGGTGCTCTGGGCCTTCTGCGTGGGGCTGTCGCGGGTCATGATCGGCCGCCACCACATCACTGACGTCCTCTCGGGCTTCCTCATCGGCTACTTCCAGTTCCGCCTGGTGGAGCTAGTCTGGATGTCGTCTAACACCTGCCAGATGCTCATCTCCGCCTGGTGAGCGCCTGGCGCCCTCGGAGCCGCTGGTGGCCGTCGCCCCGGCGGGACCTGAGGGTCACCTGGAGGCAGGTGGGCGACCGCGGGACAGCCTCCCCAGCCTCTCCTCTGCCCAGGAGGCCCCTGGCTCACCCCACCTGGAGGCCCCTCACCCACTACCCCTTTGTGGCCTGCGGCCTTCAGCAATCATCGAGCTGGGGGTGCCCACGCCTGACGCCGACCAGATGCTTCACGCAGAGAAAGGACCTTGAGGGAGGGCAGTGGCTGGCCAGGCGGTCCCACCCCACTCTGTCTGCATGTGGCCAGGGGACCCTGTTCAGGGGCACAGCCCTGAGCCCCAGGACCCTCTGGCCCTCACCTTGGCCACGCTCTTGGGCCCCACTGTCAGGGCCGGACTCGTGTGACCTTATAGGTTGTTCCCGTGTCCCAGAAGCGTTTCATGTGCAATACAGACATGCAGAAGCACTGTGCGTCTTTGCGTGTGCCTCTCCCGCTTCGGCCAGGGCCTTCCAGGCCTTTCCATGCCAATGGTGCTTTGCCCAGAGCCCACTGGGCCGTGTGGGACACCCCTGCTGCGATGCTGCCTCACATCTTCCGGGGCCCAGGACACCCCCAGACACGCTGGCTCTCACAGTGGGTCCCTACCCCCAGGAGGGGGTGCGTGGAGGCTCTGGGGACTCCTGGGGGTGGGGTCAGCAGGGGCCGAAACGGCTGCGCCCAGCATTCCTGCTGGAGGTGTGGGGGGCGGGAGGCCGGGGTGGGAGCTCCCCACTGCAGCCCTCGACAGCCGGAGATCATGCTGACCACACAGGGGCTGACCCCAGTTCAAGCCCCAGCACCACTGGGTGTGGCCCAACCCCCAGAGAACCCAGCTCTGCCCCTGTTCCCACCTCAGTGTCCCCCAGGGTCCACCACTGGGGTCTTGCTGCCTGTCATCTTCGCTTGCTGCCACTGAGTCCCAGCACCCAGGTCCCAGGGCCCCGAGGAGGCTGGAGACCCAAGCACCCGTGTCCCAGCAGGGTTGAGGGGCCTCTGGGGGCAACTTCCATGCATCCGCACACCCAGGCACTTCTTGGCTGTGACCGTGGGGCTCCGTGCTGCCTGTCCCCTCCGTGGACAGACTCGGCCATCTGCCGAGGGCACATTTGTGTGGGCTGAGCTGGTGTGCCCCTTCGGGAGACATGATTCACCCAGCACTTCTTCCTCCGGCCCGCACGGCAGGACCCCCATGCCTGGGACCCCCAGGCCGGGCTGGTGGTTCTGCTGCAGCAGACATGCATGGTCCTATACACAGTCTCCAAAATGCCCCCCCCACCCTCCGGGGGCCCAGATAAGCCCTTGACTCGGCACTGAAGGAGCTTGGGGTGTCAGAACCAGCCGGGCCACCACGATCAACCTCCACGGCCACCTCCCGTCTTGAACATTGGTGGGTGCCAGAGCCTAAAAGCACCTTGCACCTATTCCCACCGGTTCGGGGTACAGTCAAGCACAGGGGGCGACTTCCTTCTCTCCTGCTCCCACCCTCCCAGAGCTCTAGGTGGGCTGGGCACGGCCGAGGCGCCAGGCCGAGTCAGGCTGGTGTGTGCCCTGCAGGGCTACGTCCCCTGCAAGGCTCCACGAGAGACAAGCCCCCCAGGAGCACAACTGTAGGGTCGGGGGCTCACAGCAGCCACCCCCCTGGCCATGCCATCCCACTCTCCTCGATAGCGATGCCCGTGTAGGAGCTGGCACCCCGTTGGCACCAAGTTTGTGCAGTTTGGCCCCCCAAAAGCAGGACTGGAGGGGGAGCCAGATGCCAGCAGGAACTCACCGTTGGGTTCCTGGAGAGTCAGGGGCTCTGTGAGCCCCCGTGGTTCGGGGGTCCCCGACATGCCCGCTCACAGAGCTCTGCAGGTGGGCATCCACTGTGTGGGGAGGCGAGTTTCCTGCTCCCCGGCCAGTGGTGAGGAGACTGCGGCCCTGGCCACACAGGCCTGGGTGCCCGCATAGATGCGCCCTGCCTGCACTGCCAGCTGGAGGCCTTGTGTGCTTGCGGTGCCAGGGCCCACACCCAGGGGCCACACTGGCCAGGCACACGGCCTGCCCCGCCTCCCGGCCTGCGGTGTTTCTTATTGTCGCCCCTTGGGAGAGCGGGAAACGCCAGTCTCTCCCGCTGTTCAGGAAGTTCGCAGGGATGGCGCCATTCCTTCCGGCTCTGGGTCTCAGAGCTCTTCCTTTTATTTCTTTGCCTTGGGTGTCTGAGCCCACCCGACAGTGCTCAGGGCTCACTCCTGGCTCTGCACTCCTCAGCTAGCCATGCTCTGAGCCTGCGACCAATCCCAGGAGGCAGCCGCGCCTGAGGGCCACCTCACGGCCTTCCCTGCCAGGTCTCCTGGTAGAGACCCCAGTTTGGGGAACCCGAGAGGCCCCAGGTGGCTGGCTGGAAGCGGGGCTCACCAGTCCCAGGGCTGGGTTGGCACAAGGGAGTGAGCCCAGGTTGTGCGTGCAGGAGACCTGGACTGGATCCCCAGGCCCACACATGCCCTGAGCACTGGAGAATGAGCCCAAAGAACAGGGTGAGAACAGCTCCTCGAGCATGGGGAGTGAGCCCATGACGCAGGGTGAAAGCAGCTCCCAGCACCTGTGGGTGTGATGGTCTGACACACACACACACACAGACTGCTCACACACTCACACATTCATAATCCACTCACACACTCATTCACACTCACCCACACACTAACATTACACTCACATTCTCTCATACATGCACAGTTACACACACATAGTCTCACACACTCACACATTCACTTATACACACTTTCTAATACACTCACACTCATTCACACTCAAAATGCACAAACACACTCGTACACTCACATTATACTCACATTCTCTCATAGTCATGCACACAGTCACACACACTCGGCCTCACACACTCACAGTCACACACGGTCTCATTCCACACTCATTGTCATGCACTTTCATACTCACATACTCATACACACGCTCTCACATGGCCTCACGCTCATAATCATACCCTCTCACACTCACACACTGTCACACTCGCACACACACTCGTACAAATTCTGAAGCTAACAAGTTGCTGAATGCTTTGTGCCTCAGTTTCCCCCTCTGCAAGATGGAGATAGTGTGTACCTTGTGAGGTGGGGACAGTGGTTGCAGAGAGCACTGGCCCGGGCCTGCACACAGCAGGATAACAGAGGAAGATGAGGCTGGACGGATCTTTCGGGCTTCGTGCTTGTTTTGCAGCAGCCAAGCCAGTTTCTCCTTGGCAGCTCGTGTGTCCCCCAAGCCCCCGGGAGTGAGCCCAGAGCCAGCCCAGACCACGGCCGGGTGTGGCCCCCGCCAGCCACCGCCACCCTCCCCGCATCCCGGGCACATAGTCCTTGATGCATCTGCACAGAGCTCCGTCTCCATGGCAACCGCAGGGCTTGGACCCACAGCAGGGGAGGACCCGGGGCTTGTCCCCACCCTGACTCCTGCACAGGGACAGGGCAGCTGGCCGGGGAAGAGGGGGCAGGGCCCATCTAGGGAACCACGATCCCCGCCCAGTCCTGCAGGGGTGCCTCTGCGTCTGGATCCTGCCCCCGCCCTGGGGACAGCATGGGGTGTGTGTGTGCATGTGTGTGTGTGTGTGTGTGCGTGCCTATGTGTGTACATGTGTGTGCGTGTGTGTGCAGGTTTGTGTGCATGTGTGTATGCATGCATGCAGGTGTGCGTGTGCAGGTGTGCATATGTGTGTATGTGTGCGTGCATGTGTGTGCATATGTGTGTGCGTGCATGTGTGCATACATGTGTGTACTGCACGTGTGTTTGTGTATACACGTACTCTAGCAGCCTTGTCACGGTCCCCCTCACACGAGAGGCTAAGGAGAAGTTTGAGTCCCCTGAGGCCGCCACGCCATCAGGAAGCTGCCATAGTGGACACATGCCCATGTTTGCCCAGCAGGTTCCACACGTCCCAGACTGTCCCGGCAGCTCTGTCACGTGGGACAATGTCTCCCACCTCTCCCACCCCCTGGGGGGGCCGGGGGTTCTTTCTCCTGCCACTGCTGTTTGTCCCCCAGTCTGATCCCTACTGAGGGGGGTGCCAGGCCTGATTGGGGTCCCCGGCGCCTGCTGCCCTGCCCTGCCCCTGCTGTCTGGGAAAGGGAAGAGATTTGGGGTCCTGGAAGCCTCCCAGGCCACAGCCCTGTGGCCAGAACAGTGCCCCCACCCTGCTCCCTACCCCTCGCCTAGGACAGAGCCAACAGTTGGGGTTCCTGATGGTGAAACCCCAAGTGGGGAAAGGGGCCTGAGTCCACGGGGCACAGACTCCCTCCAGAAGAGGAAATGAGGGTGAAGGGAGGGGCCAGCGTTGAGGCCGGCTGGCTGGGAAAGGCAGGACACCCCCCCCACACCTGACAGGCACAGGGGCTGATCCCTGACCCCACACACATGGAAGGTGATAAATGGGTCGACAGGTTGTTGCCAGGCTACTGGTGGGCAGTGGTGTCCCCCCCCCCAGACCACACCTGGCTCTCTGCCTTCACCCCGCAGTGGGGCCCAGATGGGGAGGCAGAGACTGGCAGGGGTGAGGCGGTTCTGGCCCCAAAGCCCCCAGGGTTGCAGGGCTGACCGCCTCTCACCCCGAGGCTCTAGAAAGTTCTTGTTTTCCAAACACAGTGGTTAGAGGGGTTCTGGAGACCCCCACGGCTGTCGGTCGGGAGAGGCCTGGGGCTGGAGCTGCGTCTGGGCAGACACTGAGGACGGCCAGCTCCCCCACCAGATGCTGGGAAGATGGGACCCTCATCCCTGAGCAGACACAAGACCAGCACGTGGGCGGCGGGCAGCCCCGGGACTCTGCAGCATGTTCAGGGCTCAGCCAACTCCGTCCCACAGGAAGGACCAGGCGTGAGGAGACGGGGACTGCACCCTGTGAGGGGTAGGCCAGGGAGCACGGGAGATCACAGGCAGGGAGCCCCCGGAGTGGGCAAATGGGGTGTCAGCACACTGGA